AGATAATAACATACATAGACACGCATGGGTTAACATAGATAATAACATACATAGACAGGCACACATGGGTTAACATAGATAATAACATACATAGATAGATAGTAGCATAGACAAGAGGGGGGGAAAGCATTAACAATAATGCCAAATGTATGTGGTGACTCTCAACTGCTATCGTTTGTAGTCCTGAAAGTTCTTTAGACCAGCCTCTAGGAGACACAGAGGAGCACCGACCAGGGACCCTCCTAACTCCTGACTTGCATGCAAATCCCATTTAAAGACAGACTTAGGATTGGAACTTGCTCGTCATCCGAGAACTGCTTATATCCATATTTGGGTGCTTTTAAATGCCCCCATTGTGAAAAGAAAGTATCTCCTGGGGTACTTGGCCCCAATGTCCCAACCGCCCTCTTTTGCCAGGGGCCCCTGGGCTTCCCCTTGCCATGTGTTGGGCTGTGTCTGCTGCCTGTCCCTCAGAGGGATGGGACGGAGCCAGCTGGGTGGCCACGCACAATGGTAGTCTTTACACTTAAAACTGGAATCTTTATGAAGGCTACAATCTCAGCTCTTCCGCTGCACGAGCTGCCCTTGGGAGCGCTGGGTGGGCACATGTGCTCGATGGTGCCCCCTAGCAGAGCTCAGATGTAGAGCGTCCCCACCTTCGCTGACCGTGTATTGGAAGGCCACCCAGGGACCGGGACTCAGGGTGCATTGACAGGACTCTTGGCTACGGAAGGTCACCTACCTCTGGTTTGGAGACCCTGAGTAAGAGCTTAGGAAAGGTTCCCTTGGCATGGGATGGTCTCAAGGTACCACTCAGCAAACTGCCTGCGATCTGTGTGTTTAGGGTGCCCCAGGCCACTCCTCTCGTGGGGTGCCCAGCATACAGCAGAACCCAGGCTTACTCACCAGCTGGTTCAGGGAAACATCCTGCTCAGGCGGCGGCGGCTCTGATGCCCGAGTCGGGGTGGCGTCAACACTAGTTCTCACCGACGCCGTCTCATAGACGTGCAGGGGCGACTGGTCGTCCACGGAAGGTCTTTCGAGACTGTAATTGGTATCACTGGTAGATATGGAGCTGATTTTCATTTCAGGGGATGTGGGGACTTCCACCTCGGATGTGACATCCACCAGGGATGTGCCTTCGACTTCGGATGGAAATTCCACCTCGGAGGGGGATTTCCCCTCGGATGGAACCTCGGATGGGGATTCCACCTCGGGTGGGGATTCCACCTCGGATGGGGATTCCACCTCGGATGGGGATTCCACCTCGGGTGGGGATTCCACCTCGGGTGGGGATTTCCCCTCGGATGGAACCTCGGGTGGGGATTCCACCTCGGATGGGGATTCCCCTTGGGTCTCAGCTTCCCCTTTGGCACCATTCTCCTCGGCACCCAGATCTCCGCCGGGTTCCTGACCATGGCTGTCCTCTTGTGGTAGGACCTGCAGGGGTGTGGCAGGGAGGTGAGTCAGAGAAAGTCCTCTCAGGTTGCCCCAGGTGGGACCCGCCCTGAGGATCTCTCTGAGCATGGCCCAGACAGCTTCTCCTGCCTTTCCTCATCTGCGCTCTCTGGGGTTGACACAACTCTGTTTGGTAATAATTTGAGAAACTCCGGACAATCCAAGGGCAGACTGTCCTGGTTCCTGATGAGTGCCCAACACCTGTGAACAGGGTAGGAGGATGTTGGATGTTTTTATGTCAACTTGAACGTGTATATAAAAGTGTAGGGGCGTCAAATCTCTCAATCTTGTCCCGGCCTGATGATGTCTTCCTTGAGGGGGGGGCGTGGCCATCTTATAAGGAAGAGACTGGGAACCTCCCTCTCTCTCTGCTCCTTCCCCTTCTGGTCTGTCTCCAGGGGGAGCGCCACATGGGCCACTGGACCCACCGACTAGGGACCCACGTGACTCTACACCTGCTGGCCTGTGACCTTCCTGTGCCACCCTCCTGCATCATCTCCCTGCAGCTATGTGAGTCTGGAGAGGGCCCTGTCTGGCATCGGACCCACGGACTTGAGTTGGGCTGAACTGGGAGGCCCTCTTGATATGAAATTGCTTCTTGGTGTAAAGCTGTTTCTTAGACACGTATGCGTGCCACTGGTCTGCTTCTCTAGACCACCCAGCCTGACACAGGGTGGCAGGACATCCGACGGGTTTCTCTGCACGGAGTGAGTCTGTTCTACCGCAAACAAACTCCACCCACCCACACCCACACCCACCCACTCACTCACTGCCATCGAGTCTGTTCTGATGCACAGCCACCCCACAGGACAGGGTAGAACGGCCCTGTGGGTTTCCAGGATCGTCAGTATTTATGTGAGTGGAAGGCCTCCTCTTTCTCCGGTGGTTTCAAACGGCCGACTTGGTGGGTGGCAGCCCAACTCTCAGCCCAGCACCCCACCGGGGCCCCTTGGTGCGTGGTAAGGGGGCCAGACACTTCACCGGAGGAGCCCTTGTTGCCCTCACGCCCACAGACACAGGCCCGCGGTGACCGGCCCACGCCGCCCTCCTCACCTCGTCACCCTCATTGTTTTGCTCCTCTTCTCCTTCAGAAGCCGGCCTGCTCCCCGGCGGCTCGAGCCTGTTTCCAAGACACAGCTTCAAAGAATGGCCCCTTCCCCGCCCTGGCCCCTTCCCCCATGCGTCTGTCGCGGTGCCCTGTCATTTCAAGCACCAGCGAGGTCGTCCGTGGTGGGCGGGTCCCAGCAGCCTGACTGTACAACTCTGCCCAATAGGAGAGAGCTACTCATTGTTTTATCATTGCACCGGGGCCCCTGCAGCTCGTAACACAAGCCATCCACACATCCACGGTGTCAAGCCCTTGTGTGTATATGTTGCCATCCTCATTCTCAAAACATTTTCTTTCTACTTGAGCCCTTAGTATCCACTCCTCATTTCCCCCCTCCCATCCCTCCGATCCCACCCTCACGAACCCTTGATCATTTATAAATTATTATTATTTTCTTGTCTTTCACTGACCGATGTCTCCCTTCACCCACTTTTCTGCTGTCTGTCCCCTAGGAGGGGGTTATGTGTCGATCATTGTGATTGGTTACCCCTTTCTCCCCCCACCTTCCCTTCCCCCTTCTGGTATCGCTACTCTCATTATTGGTCCTGCAGGGTTTATCTGTCCCAGATTCCCTGTGTTTCCAGATCTTATCTGTACCTGTGTACATGCTCTGGCCTGGCCGGATTTGTAAGGTAGAATTGAGGTCATGATAGTGGGGGGGGCGGGGGGCGGGGCACGAGAGCATTCAAGAACTAGAGGAAAGTTGTGTATTTTCTTTGGGTCTCTACTCCGCACCACCACCCCCATTCACAATGATATGATTTTTTTGTTCTGCATCTTTGATACCTGATCCCTTCAACACCTCATGGTCACACAGGCTGGTGTGCTTGTCCATGTGGGCTTTGTTGCTTCTGAGCTAGACGGCGTTGGTTTATCTTTGAACTACTGATTTGTATGCTATGTGAGTTAGATGCCTGTGACGCGGTTGTGAGAACCGTTGAGACCTCATGAATGGCAGGGAACCCTGTCGGACAGAGAGCTGGGAAACACTGAATCTACGGCTCGGGAAGAGCTGCCTCCTCAATGTGGACTCGGCCCCAATGGTGCGGACCGGACCGAGCAACGTGTTCAGGACCCCCATTTGCCGACGGGGCAGAAAGGAACATGAGAAGAAACAGTTGCAAGCATCCATCCGTAACTGGAATGCGAGGCCAACAGTGCAACAATTTAACAAGTTATCTTTTAGACATATTTTTTCCCAATGAAAACGATGAGCCCATGGCAAAAAGAAAAGGTCAAACGGATAGGAAATGTGTGCCACAGGGAAGGTCCTTGTGACATTGCCTCCCTTTCCCAACATAACTCACTGCCATCGAGTTGACTGACTCACAGCGACCCGACAGGACAGGGTAGAAGGGCCCCAGTGGGTTTCCCAGACTAGCTCTTCACAAGAGGAGAAAGCCTCCTCTGTCTCCTTACAAGCAGCTGCTGGCTTCGAACTGCTGACCTTGCAGTTAGCGGCCCAATGCGTCACCAGCTTGCCACCAGGGCTCCCAACATAGCCACCAGAAATAGTGAGACTGAGGGGCCACTCACTGCCCACTAGTCCACTCCCACAGGTAGCCACGCTACAGGATGGGGTACACCAGCCCCCTGAGCTCCCAGGTGGCAAATCTTTACGGAAGGTGGTTGCTTCTTCTTCTTTCCAGGAAGTGCTAGCAAGTTCCAACCCATCCCCTTTTGGTTTTCACCCAACCTTTAACCCACAACGTGACTCTGTGTGTGACTCTGTGTGCGGAAAATGTGTTCCATGCTTGGGGCCTCTGTTCAAGCCCTCCCTCCACGCAAGAACACTTTGTTCTAGCAACCTTGCATTCCGTGATGCTCACCCTCCTGGCACGATTGTTGAAGACAAAGCAGGTGCATAAGCAAATGTGGTGAAGAAAGCGATGGTCCCGGCTATCAATAGATAACAGCATCTGGGGTCTTAAAGGCTTGAAGATAAACAACTGGCCGTCTAGCAGGGAAGCAACAAGCCCACATGGAAGAAGCACACCAGCCTGTGTGATCACAAGGTGTGGAGGGGCTCAGGTATCAGGTATCAGAAGACTCCAAACAAATAAACAAACCAAAGAACCATATTGTTGAGAACGAGGGGTGTTGGAGCAGAGACCCCAAACCCATCTGTAGTCAGTGGGACATCCCCTCACAGAAGGGTCACAAGGAAGGGATGAGTCAACCAGGGCGCAGTATAGCAC